GTGCGCCGGGCCGGGGGCGCGCTGGGCCGGGGGCCGGGGCCGCCTCCTCCCCCCACCCCCCCAGCTTACCTGCTTCCTGCGAATCAAATGTTCGCGGGAAGCAGGGGAGGGGGCGGAGTTGGGGCGGGGCGTGGGCGGGGCTGGGGGTGGGGCCGGGGCCCCGTGGAGTGTCCTCCTTTAGGAGGCTCCAAATATGGTAACCCTAGCAACCAGCTGCAATGTAGACATACAAAGATAAATGGGCGCTCCCTAAGGGTATCTACAACATCGCAATTGAATTGTCAGGCCTCAGAGCAGACTTGCAGCTTCCTGGGAGGTATTTAGTTTCCAACAGCATATTAGCTAAGGAACAACCAGAAAGCAAGTCTAACAGATAGGGAGGAAGGCTTGCAGAGCTTTTTATTTCTGTACCCATCTGGGAACACATGATTATCAGCAGACCCAGGAACGATTAGACATTTTCTATCAGTGACGTATTTGAGAGTTTGGAGGCAGAGTATCAGCTTTTGTTAATGCCTAGGCTTTCACAAGTTAATACAATGTTTTGCATATTTGTTATTTATTCATGAGAAATTTGAAAACTACTCCTGACTTTCTTTTTTTTCTGTAGCTTTCCCTCCAATGAAAACATCTTCATGATGGGTTAAAATGGAGAGGAGGCATGTACTAAAAGGACATTTTTACTGTCTCCAATTTTTATAGATCACTGGAAGTAAAACTACTAGATATTTCACCAATCATAAATTCATTTATTATTCCTGTGGGGATTCTGCACCAAAAAATTCTGCATATTTTATTTGTCAAAATAATGCAATATAATCACATCAGTTTCACTTGTTTTGGCAATTTATTTAAACTACAATGCAGAAAAAAAGTCACAATAGCTATTCAGCATTTCCTAAACACATGAAAGTTGAGTTACAAACACTTCGTAACTAATACCCTGCATTCCAGTTATAATCCCGGATTTTCATTTAAATTACATTACAGAACGCCAAACAGCAAAAAAGTAGAATGTCATTTTAAATTGCTCAGAGACTTCCACAGATAAAAGTCATACAGTTTTACTAATCATTGTCCTGGACCTGGCTGGGTACTTTGGGAAGTGCTTGCTTCTGATTGTCCTGACTTTTTATTGACTGCTTGGTAAACGTTTTATTTGCTCTCAAACTCTTTTTTTTTTTTTTAAATGGGAAAGTAAAATAAATCCTGAGCTGTAATCTAACCTCATTTTGCCACTTTGGCACAGGAAAAAAGTGAGAAAGCACATAGATCTTCCTAGCTGATTCCCTTTACTGTCATTTATCATAAGGCTCCTGGCAATGTAGGGAACTTCAAACTTTCACAGGTTTTATGCTCCTAGGGGAATTGACTGAGAATGGGAACAGTTAAGGAACAACAGGAACATTAACGATGTTACTACACAGGCAGGCTGCTACATTTCTGCCTGCAGGAAAGAGCCTTCCTCCTGCATAATAAAAAGACCTATCCCTCCACACCCCTGGCGAGCCACAGTAGCAAGCGAGAGGGACAGAGTCTCTCTCGCTTGTTGGCAGGCACGCACGCCCAGCCCCTCCCCGTGATGGTGATCGTTTCCCCCGCAGGCACGCACACACACCCAGCCCCTCCCCGTGATGGTGATCGTCTCCCCCGCAGGCACGCACGCCCGACTCCTCTCCCCCTGCAGTGATTTGCGTCTCTGAGGCTGCCCCAGGGCCAGGCACATTGGAACTGACTCACTGCCTGGACTACCGGGGAAAGAAGCGCATGTCCCCCTGCAGATTTCTTTGGCATTTTTCTGCACAGGAGTCCATATGAATTCTGCGCCCCTGCAGGGGCACAGAATTTTGTCAGGAGTAATCTATGGGCCATTTTACCACAACAGGAATTTTTCCCATTCAGTTTTGTAACTGGGCTACTTGAGTGTTACTGGAGCACACTACCATCATTTTATAAATATATTCTGTGTAATTGATCTGTGCCCTGGGCTAAATGAGGGAGATTGGATTGATAAACTGGGGGTGGGATCAATAAGTAGCACTATATTTTCAATTTTTTTTTTAAGTTTAATCACTCCAAGGAATTTGGGGGGGGGGGGGAGAGAAAAGAGGAGGAGGGAAGAAAAAACAAAAAACAAAAAACCCACAGCACCCAAGAGGGAATGCAGTATATTTTGTGTTGATGGTGTCACTGTCAGCACCAACTGCATCAGCTCAGGTCAACCCTTCCACAGTGCATTAAGTAATTGGCAGAGTAACTTACAAGTTTCTGGACCAGGAAAAAGTCTTTCTTGTAGATTGCAATGCCTTTGTTGAAAAGTTTCTTCTCATCAACTTTCCACCTGTCCGATCCTATAAGTAAAGAAGTTTAAACTGAAACCTATTTCATTTCAAGCTTTTAGTCTTCTAGTTGTTTTTTCTTTAGGTTTCCTTTAAATAAAACCAGCCCAAACTATATGCAGTTCATGAAACCAGCCCAAACTATATGCAGTTCATGACACATCTGAAGTAGTCTTAGTACAATAACACTTTTTCACCTCCAACAAGAAAACACACAATCCAGAACGTCCCTTAGCCCTCCCACATTCTTTCTTTATCCACACAGCCACAGTGGAAAGTACTCTGGTAGCGTCAAAGAGCTGTTGTACTTGTAATGTGAGCAGACGTGTAATTTTTGTGCACTAGAGATGGAGCTATTGAGCTTCTCTCTACCCTCACCAGACCAAGGTCTCCCAGGGTTACCTAGGGCCATCCTCGGTCACGAAAGATACTATCTTGCAATTGGTTATATATTGAGTGAGGGTACAGACAGACACAGCTGCATCAGACACTGCAGTTTTGCTTCCATAGAGGAAACAATTAGATGCAATAACCTGCTAGTCTCTGTACTCTCTAACATCCTACTGTAAGCAACATAGGTTACTAGCGACTGGAAATTCTCCCACTAATACTCTCTCTCAATTCCCTGCTATGAATTCATGCCACAGAGGTTGCAGTTCTGAGATTTGGACAGTCATTCCATCACCCATAAGCCTCCCTTCTGTGATCGCTCTCTGTGAAGACATCTAGTCCCTTGACAAGCCTGGATATACAAAAAAGTGGCCCAGTGACTAATGGACTTGTGGTGTGTGCAGCACACTAGCAAATCCTAAGTGTCATGACAGCTGCAGGCAAGAATCCCTGCAATTCACCACTGCACTCATCCAGGCAAGGGACGATGTCTGATTCCTATAAAGCTTCCTGAAAAAAAAAAAAAAATTATGACACTGTATCAATATTAAAAGAGCAGCAACAACCACCATCACCTGCTGTGCAAAAGGGTGAAAAAATCCCTATCTGCAGCTAGGGCTGCCAGCTACAAAGGAAGCAGAGGCAGCCGCGCTGAGTTCCCCTCAGCATACCTGTGTAGTGATAGTCTGCCAGTGGGTGGTGTGGCGATCGCATTGGCCTCTTCAGCAGCAATTTGGTCAAAGTAGCCTAAGAGACAGTACAACAACAAAATTAGCTTCATATAGGACACTAACTTATACAGGTATTACAACAAAGAACATCAGGCAATCCCCTTAGTATCATCCTCTACCAGCAGGTCAATTGTATTAAAAGCTCTCTTTCCCACCCTATGCTCTAGCGTTTGGAACAGCGACATGTGAGTCAAGACACCAGCATTCCGATCTTGACTCTCTGGTACCTTGGGCAAGTGACCTCACCTCTCCATGCCTCCACTTTTCCATCTCTACATTGGGTAAAATACTACTCACCTACTCTAGCTCATAAAAGATGTTGAGAGACATGATTATTATTCCCACAGATGAAAGGCCCTATAGAAGTATTTTCTTGTGTAGTGATGATCCCATGTAGCATGTGCTCTCTTAGAAAGCCAGTTCCCACTGGCCACACTCCTTTGCAGATTCAGGACACCAGTGAAATGGGTTTAGAAATCTCAGTTCACTTGAGTAAACAATATTCCAAAATAAAATGGAAGGATCACTTCAGCAGAAGAAATTTATCTCAGAGACTATAAAGCCACTCAATTGTAGCCACTTTTTATTTGCACTTAAAACTATAGCTACAATTTGTCCTGAAGTTAGAGAGGATTATGAAAGGCTGGTGCACTAAACAGCTACACTTTGCAATTTTACAGCATTTACCAAAGAAATCAGTGTTTTATAAACATAAATGGTTACAAACTGCTGCAAGGCTGATCAGTATACCCATTTCACAGATAGGCAAAGAGAGGTTACGTGACTTGCCTAGGGTCACAAAGAGAGTCAGTGACAAATGCAAGAATTGAACCCGGGAGTCCTATCTCCCAGTCCCATGCTGTAAAACCAGTAGACACCGTTCCCTCGCATGAGAGTTGGCTTCCAATTTAGATGGCAAGTGAATTTAGTTTAGCAATTTCAGCCACTTGATCCCTGCAAGCTAAAAACAGAAACCACATACAGTCTGATGCAGTTCGACATTTTTAGCAGTCTCTGCTTAGGAGTGGCCAAAGACTGAAATAGCGAGGATGGTGCAAGTCAAAATAGAGGTGCATCAGCAGAGCTGTGCGGGGCCACGTTCGGAATAGCGACAGGAAGAGGTGATGAGCATTAGGATTCAGATGTATTGGCAGAACTGTGTAGTGCTTTGCAAGCTTCCTTCTTTCAAATAAGCTTCTTGCTTGTGCAATCAGTCCTTGATTATAGTGATCATTAAGGTCTCTTCCCACAATCTCAAAAGATAGAAGATTGAAGAGGACTCACCAGAATGTTTCCCTTTGCTTCATGCAAGACGTGCAGTGCCAGCTCCTGATTGGTACCAGCCCCAGGAAAAATACTTGAACAGGCAGCAGTTAGCAGATTTTCCACTATTACCAGGAAAGTGCCATCAAACCAAAAAAAGGAATGGGGTGGAAGAAGCAAAAGATCAGATTAAGAAACAGAAAAGTAGTTGCTATTTTTTCCTATATTCAATGAGTTTGGTTGGTGAGGGTCTCAGCATAGTTTTCGATGAGCTAGTGCCCACGTATATCTTGGGCAACAGTAGGATTTGCATTATTTTATCCTAATTGGTCCTTTCCAGTCAAAACTAGAGAAACCAGGAAAGAACATAAGATTGAATGATCACAGAACTTGAACTCCCTCTCACTCTAAGGGCAGGTCTACACTAACCCCCCAATTCGAACTAAGGTACGCAACTTCAGCTACGTGAATAACGTAGCTGAAGTTCGAAGTACCTTAGTTCGAACTTACCTCGGTCCAGACGCGGCAGGCAGGCTCCCCCGTCGACTCCGCGTACTCCTCTCGCCGAGCTGGAGTACCGCAGTCGATGGCGAGCACTTCCGGGTTCGACTTATCGCGTCCAGACAAGACGCGATAAGTCAAACCCAGAAGTTCGATTTGCTTGCCGCCGAACTACCGGGTAAGTGTAGACCTACCCTAAGAAAGGATGGTGAATCCAGGTGATGTTCGGATAAGATATAATAATGCAGGACTAAAGGGAAGGGAAGAGAGCCAAGACTGAATTAATCTCAATGTTGAATTTCCCTCTTACTTGGGGGGAGGGGATGGAAAGGTGGAAAGTATTTCCTCTCTAGGGTAGCATTTAAGAACACTATGGGAGCAAGGCAAGAAAATACAAATCTGAATGAACGTGCAAATACCATTTCCTTCTTTTTCCAGAAAAGGCTGGTCAAGAGCTACTGCTTCAGTAAGTGAACAAACCCAGGATTCAGGCCAGCTCTACCCTACATCAGTGGTTCTCAAACTAGGGCCGCCCTTGTTCAGGGAAAGCCCCTGGTGGGCCAGGCCGGTTTGTTTACCTGCCGCGTCCGTTGGTTTGGCCAATCGCGGCTCCCAGTGGCCGCGGTTTGCCGCTCCAGGTCAATGGGGGCTGCAGGAAGCAGTGCGGGCCGAGGGACGTACTGGCCGCCCTTCCTGCAGCCCCCATTGGCCTGGAGCAGCAAACCGCGGCCAGTGGGAGCCGCAATCGGCCAAACCTGCGGACGCGGCAGGTAAAGAAATTGGCCTGGCCCACCAGGGGCTTTCCCTGAGCAAGCGGCGGCCCTAGTCTGAGAACCACTGCCCTATATAGTTTGTTGGCACAGCTCTGTTGGCTAGGGGTGGGGGTGGGGAGGGGAATCACATCCCCTATCTGGCACATCTATGCCAGAAATACCTCTAATGCAGACCCAGCTATGTCAAAAAAGGCATTTTTCAAAATTCTTCAGCGAATCAAACAACATCTTCGTTTCCATTTTCCGGCATTTTGACAAAAGCAAATGGAAGGAGGACTGCACTGACAAAATGGATGGGGGAGAAAGTGGTGGTGCTACCACCTCTCTTATAACTTTAGCCCACTTGTTGAGGCACTCACCTGGTATGTGGGACCCTGAGACTACACGAGAACTACAGCTACACCATTGTAGTGTACACACCTGCTACAGCGACGGAATTATTATTCAAGAGACAGTAGCTCGGTCAACAGAGGAATTCTTCCATTGAGCTACCAATGTCTATACTGGGGCTTACGTTGGCTTAACTAAGTCTCTCACACCCCTGAGCAATGTAGCTAGGGGTCAATCTAAGTTTTAGCTGTAGACCTGTCCCTAGATGCAATTCCCCCCTCTGCCTGATGCAGAAATGGGATTTGAACTTGGGCTTCTCACATTGCACGAGAGAGCCCTAACCATTAGGCTATGTGATATTCTGGTGTGGGGCATTCTCAATTTCTCCACTTGTTCCAC